TGCAAATTGAAATTTCTGCTATTTTAGTGTACATTTCATAACGGAAATATCGTTAATCGCGCCATTTTAGTAGCCGCAATGATGTGAATTATAAATTCTACAATTTAATTACACTTTGGAAGTACGATTGTACAATTTCCTTCATTATTTTTTAAGAAAAAAACGAATGGCTAAACAATATTGCAGTTATAGAAATTGATCTTTTCTTATATTGCTAATCATTATTTTGTTTTGGCTTATGGCATCTATATTATATAATATTTATTTACAGTTCAAAGTGCATTTACTTCTAAAATGGCACATGTGACAAGAACTAACTTTTTTTTATTTCCTTATAAATAAAGAATTTAGGATAATAAAGCTACCTTTTGTAACACCTTCAAGGGTTGAACTATCTTCGTATGTGCAAGAGTCGTAATTTTTTATTTCTGTCCGCGTCCTAAATGACCTCATTTTATTGCCAGTGACTTAAAATTAATTACAATAACTGAACAAGTATCATCGCAACAAAATATAAACAAAAATAAATGGAATAATGGATTAATTCTTTGAAAATATGATTTATCATAAAATTGTCCACATATACAAAAAGCAAGAGTCTAAGTCACACTTCTTTGGAAATTAACTTACAACATACAAATTATATTATTCATTTGAATGGCAATATTGAATATTGGGTGCAAATAATAAAATTTTCCGTGAAGAAGCAATTGAATAAGCTGATTATACCAGATGCAACAATGTAATCAATTAAATTAGATCATTAATGAATAGCATCACTTCTCTTAATATTATGAATGTATTTGATCCTATAAGGAAGCAACTGAACAAGTTCAGTTTGCTCGATACAACAATACAATCAATTAAATTAGATTATTAATAGATAAAGCTACTTTTCTTTAGGTTTTGATTAATTTCATTGAAAATATGATTAAAATTTAAAAAATATCAACTATTGTCAAGTGGCCTGATAATTGTACTTCCTTTTTATTTATATTTGTTTCAAAGCAATGAATGTTGTAGCAACTGGTCAATAAAACTAATTGTCTGATGATTGATAAGTTATAACTATGCAATTAAAATCATACGTCCATCGTCAGATATCTAAATCAATCGATACTTATAACATTTAATTTTAAATTTATCCTGCTATAATAATTGCTGCTACTTTAGTCACCAGTCTTTAGATAGCCAAAATCATTTAGTAAAAAAGCAAAGAAAAACTTTCAATAAAATCTACAATTTAGATCACTTCATATCGTTATTAAATCGGCATTCGGCCAGGCTTCAGAGTTAATTAAAAAGGTAAATACGTTCACTTTTTAGACAAATAATGATTTTTTCTTGAATTAGAATGTTTGCACTTATGCTGTATTATACGGTAAGTGATAGTAATATTTGATCATCATGGCCATAAAATGTTTAATTTAATGCATATCATTACCTCGTTAGATTTTTGTAGCAATCGCAATTATGTTTAACAGGTGTTACAGTCTTATATACTGTATTACAGTAGAAATATCTATGTTAGGATAATTCTGTTAGCCTATCCTTATTTAGTTAAATTCTAATTTGGATACACTGTGCTTTAATATAGCACTGACTTTTTATGACAGTGACACATATACACATACTGAAATTAATAGTTATAATAGGGAATGCAAATCATTCACTTATAGTTCGAATCATTGTGATTATAACTTACTTATGGTAGATAGTAAATTATCGTGGAAATGTTCCGTGATAGGACATATCGTAATCTGACTATTCTGTATTAGTCATCAGATGTCTATGTTCGTAAATACTGTTATCTGCATTAAGGGAAAAGTAGCTAAAATTAATATCTAATTCAGTAAATGATTCCAATGTTAATTGTACTAACTATGACTCATGAACTATTGAGGAAGAGTATGTAAATGCAGTATATCGTGTAATAAAGTGGATTCTTAAACTTAGTGTTTAACGTAAAATATGAGGCGTTTAAGTCTTCGTGTAGTCTGCTAGTAGAGCAAAAAAGTGTTTCTGATAGTGCAGATATCGTTCCTTGATACGTGGTTCAAGGAATTGACTTATTGATCGTATTACATTATCTTGTTGCAAAGCTGTTTCGTGACAACAGAATCCCGTAATACTCCTCTATTATAATTACAGGAGATAAAATAATAAAAAGCAAATTACTGTAAGTTTTGATACGTTTTATGAATGCTATATCAAAGATAATTTAAATTTAATCCATTACCTCTGATACAATTGGTCAATAGGCCTTAAGTCCTTTTGTCACTTTCAGACATCAAACTGTATAGGAAATTTTGTCTTAATTTATTTTAAAGTAAATCCCAGGCATTTAAGATAAAAAAAATTTTAGTGATCTATTACTCTAGATAACATTAGGTGATGCAACCAACCATTAAATAAAATACTTAAAATAGAGTAAGTTACAAAAATTCTGAAGACTTAAACTAAAAATAACCTTTAATTGATATTTGAATGAAACGAATTAAAATAGTAGGAGTTTGGTAAATATCAACTTCTGCTGTAAATCTGCCCGAAAATAATATTAATGATATTTTACAGTAAAAATTTTAGTGGTTCAGCTTGACAATGTAAATTATAGCGCTTTATTCCATCAACTTCATAGTCAGCTACAATCGATATTGTTTGGATACAATTATTGATAATATAAATAAAAGGTTTTAATTAAACTTAGATATGGACACTATTTGTAACAAGTACTGAATAGTCTAAATGCTGCAGTAATCAGAAGATAAATTATTACATATACTATATTATTAGAGCATTGCAGGTAATAAACAATTCTCAAACGGTCGTTTATCATAGGATTATTCACTGCATTTAAATATTTAAAATAATACGATACATCAGATTTAGGACTGAAATGCTGACGAATTTGTACACCTGTCGTTAAAGATATAAAGTAATTGAAAGCTATTCTTATCTATTGAATTTCAGAGAGAGAGAGAGATAATATTTAGTTGCCTCCTATGTAATCGTATTATAAACTATTACTTTCTGATATTCATTGCATTTCCTATCTGTACTTGATTTCTATCTAATAATTATTTTTTGCATAGAATTAAAAAATTGACCACCTATGATCAATCATACGTATTATTAATAGTCTTAACCTTAGTAATCGCATGTTTAATTTTATGCTGAGTGGCCATTGGTTTAAAATAGACAAGAAGACAAGAACAAAGTTAGAAATTGTATTTAACATTATTATTATGATGGTTTTTAGGCGCACTATTCATGACATCTTAAACCTGATCTTCATTGACTATATTAAACGGCATACCGAATTCACTAACTCTAAGTTATGATTACAACTTACAAGATTAAATCGTAAATGACCCTTATTTAATCAGTACCGTAACTTACTGAAATATTACAACTGACAATTACATCAATTTAACCAGCATTACTGTAGTTGATGCTATCGCTATTTCAACTCTAAGATCGAATCACTTCGACAGAATTACTATACCATTCGTAAATATAGTATATAATTAGATTTGATTTAATATTCAAATTTAAAAATTTATTTTTTATCGTTCACTCTGAAATGCATGATTTTTCTTCTTTTATATTAACCTTGATCATCCAAGCACTAGCAATGATGCAGTAGAATTTAAAAGGATATAATTAAGCAAGAAGTTTGTTCTAAAGTTTTAAAATAACTATCAAAGTATTGATTTTATTGCACAAAAGTAGTAGTGTTGGGACTATTACTGTAATGAATTAAATTAGATCTTAACATACTTTGATTTATGAAATTTAATACCAATCCTTGGTTTATTAATATTAAGATTTTGCATTGTTAATACGAAACTCATTCTATAAGGTGCCCAATGACGTACGTCACCCTATGTTAGTTTACTATTCAAATCGCTAGAAATATTTTCAAGCAGGAAACAGTATCTTATTTCTGAAATAAATTTGATTATAGTGGATGAATTTACTTATAGGGCGCTTACCTAATACTAACTTATAAATAATTTGATTCTAAGTCTAAGTATTACTATGGTAATTAGTAACCAATTTAAATTCCATCTTAACTGATTTCGCGTACGCTGATATCATGAAAAGCTATTATAAATTGCATATATTCGAATCGTGTATTTCTAGTCTATTAATTATACGTGCACTCAACCGATTTTGTATCGTTAATTTGAATTAAAATGAAGAATTGTAAGTTAACATATCATATCAAAGAACTAATTGCAAAGTAAATTTTAACTAATTAATTCCGTAAGCGTTCCAGGCTACATGGTAAAAGAGATGGAAAATGTAATTTATCAGTAAATCTATCTACTTTAAAAACGGGATCCTGACATAAGATATAATCGGATTGAATCTTTATTATAATTCTAACTTGCATAACCTAATATCTTGTAAACAGTATTTAAGACTCTTATGTCTTCAATGCGTAGCATTAATAGCGCTAATTCTAGCTAGCAGTCGTTATCATTATCAGTTATTATAATTAATGAGATATGCAATCCCGTAAAACTCGCTGTTGTCTTTTAGTAGGTCTTCCATAACATCAAAATAATTTTAATGTAATAAGATTAATATCAGGCTAATCAATATGTTTATCTTATTTACTTTTCATATAAAGAAACTGTAAAATACGTCACAATTTCAAAATCTTAGTCAACGCAAATAGCTTGATTAATGATCATTCTGAATTTCGATAGCGGAATTTTTTAACAACATCAGTGCTAGTTAACAATTTAAATTATCAGAAAAATCTAATAATATTTGATTACTTGATATTTTCAAAGATTTCACATGCAATAAATAGTATCTGTATATCTAAGCTCTTTCATTTATTACGACTATAACATACTGGAAGTAACCATTACTTCTGCAGCGACGATTTAAATTTCATCTGACATGCTTTTATAATAACTCTTTCTAGTACTAGATATTGTAAGGAGAATTATTAAATGGTACAAAACGATAGCGTTCTTAATATGATGGACAACTGTTCTGACTACCATAGCTCCCAAAAAATCTCTGGCCTTCATCCTGTTTATGGCATATTATCCATCTTGGGAATTATTGGAAATGGGATAGTATATCGAGTGATTAGGCAACAGAAAGGATCTAATGCACAATCAGCTGAAATATTTATCACCAGTTTAGCGGTTGCCGATATGTTAACTGGATTGTTCGCTATAGCTGTACCCGATTTTGTTATTCCTTACAAATATTATCATTATCCATCAATAGGTTTACCAGTTTTCTGCGCTATGGTCAGCTCGCAATATTTTATATTTTACTTTGGCTTCATATCATTATATACGATAGCAGCTATTAGCTTTGAACGATGGTGCGCTATTGCAGTTCCTTCGAGTTATCGCTGTTTATTTCAAGCTCATCGCACCAAACGTTATGTCATGATAATCTGGTTAGTCGGGTTAATCTTTCCTATTGACAATATATTTAAACATGTATTGGTCAATAAAGATGGTTGCGGCCGTTGTAGATGGACCGTGATGTTTAATAATGATAGCATCGAAAGGATTGTCTTTCTGAATTTAGAACTTATTAGAATCTTCCTTCCAACTATTTTAATTGTATTTTTCTATAGTGACATTGCTAGACGTATTTGGTCTATAAATTCGCATTTTCAAAATCGTGATACTTTTTGTATCAAAATTACGGTTATGGCTTTCTTTGCAGCATTCGTTTTCTTATTATGTTGGATACCTAATGAACTATATTTCACATTAGTTATCTTTAAAGTTACCAAAATGGATTCGGTAATACATCGAACAACGAAATCCATGATTATCTTAAATTCATGCTTAAATCCAATCATTTACATGTCTGCAAATTCAAAATATCGAAAATGCTTTAGGCAATGGTTATTGGGTCACAATCGAATTACTTTTGTTGCACCCAAAATGGCAGCTTAAGCCAATTTTATAATTGGACTAATAGTCACGAGAAGGAGCAAGTCAAGTTATGCTCTATCAAAGATTGCCAAGAAAGAAACCCCGATTTGGAAGCAATTTTTATAATTTCCCTGACTTAATCAGAGATAGGTAAAATTGCTTTCTCATGAAGATGTCATATATACTTTCAAAAATAAAACTTCTTCATCCTTTTGAAAACGGATAATTTGAATTGCTAGCATCTATTATGATAATGATAACACAATTATAAGATATTACAAATTTTAACATTAAACTATCAAATTAAAGTAAGCTTTTCTCTCCAGCTGACGTGTACCTACGAGATACTGCAAGGTAAATATACTATTAATGCCGTCCAAAGAATGAATAGTGAAAAAGGAATAAATGCACTAAAACAATTCAAATAAAGTCGGTCGTGGTTGACAGTAAATCTCATCAAGTTCAGTTTCTTCTCTCACTATTAGCTACTCCAAAAATATTTATTCCAACATAAAATTTAAATTTACATACTCTCAATACCCTTCTTATCTATAAAGAGTTTAAGATTCATAGTTTTACTACATAGTGATCACCCTTACTTTCCCTTGGGAGGTAAGTAATACTAATCAATGATATATGATTTGAGCTCACTTATTAAAAAAAGGAATCGTTAATTTTTCTCAAATTAGTATCCCAGATTCTTCGCTACTTCCTTGCTAACTACTACTACAAGCCTTTAAAAGTGATCACAATATGTGGTATAATCATATCATTACTTATTTGCGTATGCTAATGATATCACTTATGGTTACGCTATGTCAATAATTATATAAGCAATATGCAAGGAATGTGACAAGTTCATTCAAGTAGTGAAATTGTTTCGTTGTTGGCATTTTAAGATTTACTGTTAGATACAAATAGATGATAAAATAGAAGCTCCTAAATTAGTGATATCACCCATACGTAAATTAAACTCAGTTAAAGATATCATTAATTTATTTAAATAAGAATCCTTGATCCTATGCTACTCCATTGCTTACTTCTACTGGCAGCCTTAAAAAGTGAAGATAATGTCTGGCATAATCAAATTATTTCTGCTATGCTCATGCTGACGCTATTACTTTTAAGTTACCGTACGCTAAATAAAAATAATATTGGAAAGATTCAAAGAATGTAAATTCATTTAAGCATTCAAATTGTTCCGTTGCTGGCAAGTTTAAAGTTTTCACTTAGTAACAAATCCGCGTATGAAATAGAAACTCCCAAAATAGACTACATTTAATATAAAGTATTGAATTTAACTAACTGTGAGGTAGATAGATCAAGAATCTTCAAAACTTTAGAAAATTAAGATTTATTGAAAAAAACCTCCATTACGAAGATACAACGTAATCGATTAGCTGAGGACCCCTAACGAGAAAGAACTATCTTACTATACTAAACTACTTGCTTATATACACTTCCTCGTTTACAGTCTTAGCACCTTACTACACACTTCAGTATTAGCATCTCAAATACAGGCTAGTTTACACCTTTCATGTGAAGCTCTAGTGTGAGCACTGTAGCGCTCCTCTTCAAAAGGATTACAGTTACTAAGCTAGCTATATTTAATACTTAAGCTTCTAACGAGAATATCTATCACATGTTGAACACAACACCTACGGTAGACATTACTAAATATATCATCAACTTAGAATACAATATTACACTGTCTTACATTAACTCTAAACCCTTCTTGACGAATATTGCTGTCTTTAATGCAGACTTATTTTATTATTTAATATCCGCAATTTGCTGTTGAATTATAGGATCGGAAATTCGATGTCCACAAGCATCGAAAAGCACTACTGACGTCAATCTGATTTTCAGTAATAGGTTCCAAAAATCCAGCGATATAATACTTGTCCTTTGACTCTTTGCTAACGATATCCTTCATTTAAAGTAAGGTACTATATTACAATTCTCGAATCTTCAATTCCGATTTCCCAATTGGTTACCGTGCTGTCTCCTAAAAGCTTATTATCTGATCTTCGTGATTTTGTTTCTACCAAATTATTTCTAAAAGTAACTTACCAGCAACAAGTTGATTGAAATTTCTTCGATAAAGTAGCCTTACATTTGTTGTTGATGGTAACCTTCCGTTGACTGAAATTAAGCAGGCTATCCTGCTGTCACAAACCAGCTTCGTGACAAGGATAACGTAAAACAAATCTCTAAATTACTATAGTCTCCCAGATTCAGTATCCCTTAACTACCTCACAAGAATTTAGGCGCCTTTGATTATACGTTAAACTCAACTAAACAATTGAGAACTGCTTTATTCAACTATCTGACGGGCTTATATACCCTTCTACAGCAGTTAACATTCACGAGTCATCTTATAAAAATACTTAGGTGAGAACATTTACTAACTAATTTTTCACAGTCGGACTACAATATGTCCATTCACAGAATCATTTCAGTACACATTACAGCACAGCATTAAATTTACTGTTACACTTTTATAATTAGAGTAATTCCTATTGTAAGTAACTAGTTGTAATATATTATTATCACTATATTATATTAACCAAATTTAGATGGCTATTTCTTCATGGTAGTTCGTACCGTGACACCTGCATAATTTCTTAACTAATTGATATAAATTTTACGTAACAGCCGTATTTGCTTTAGTTTAGGCTTTGGCTAATTTTCTTAATTAATGTATGTAGGATCACAGAATTTTATTCAAAATCCTAATAATTATCTTCAATTATTAACAATATAAATCAAGCGCACATGGAATGGATTAGAGTAAGCCTTCATTACCACGAAGATATAATCTTATACGATATAAGAAACCATACCCTACAAACGTTAATAGATTTCTTTAACAGATTTATTTAAAACTTAGCGAGCTGGTGATAATGTTATAATACTATGATATCAGGTTCCACTTTATCGAGAGATGATAGAGATTACCCGGAAAAACATTGAATATCATGTTAATAGTAGCAGTATTCTTGTATAGACTAGTTATATGAAATTTTATAATCATATTTTTCAAGTTCTAATTCCTTGGGCACGTGCCCTTTCATTTATATCCCTAATTTATGTCACCTTACCTGTTAATAGCATAGTAGCCCACACGGTAACATATTATCCATATACAAAGGATTCTTTAGCTTCAATGAAGGTTTCATTTAGTTTTTAGGAGTTACAGCTCGATTTTAAATTATCTAAAGATGATGATTGTTCAAATTACGACCCCATTTTCATTATCATTTTAATTTTGGAAAAAGCTGAGATCTAATGTAAAATCTTTGCGTAGAAGGTGTTTCAATTATTTGAATATGTATCTTTTCAATAGCTGAACTTACTATATAATAAATAAAAAAATTTATAATATCTCAAGGTTTAAAACTTACTCCTAAATAAATAATAATTCTAGATCATAAAATTACTTGCTTTCAGAATAGGACCTTATGTGCATCGAACTTTTGCGTTTTTTTGCTTAATCAAATTGTTACTTGATACTATTTACTAATGAATATCATTGTGGTTGCTACAAACTAGAGTTGTTGTGAGGCATTTTGACTAATCAGAAGAGAATATTGAATCTATTTTTATATCCAGACAGTAAAAATCTCATAGCAGAGACGAATTAAATTCTTTTTGTGAAATAGATTTAACTTATACCTAAGGCATCTTTCAATAATAAAAGCCAGTAGAGGGAATATGATAAATACTGTATGTTGTAATATAATGACGTAAACAGATCAAAAACTCATTGCTAGTAGGTCCATGAAAGGATATATCTTTTTTAGCCATGAATACCAGGTGCTTATACTCTAATGATTGAATCAAGTAGAATTGTATGTCTGGATAGAAATATTTGACCGATACATTTTTAAATCTTAGGCCATTAGTAGATCTATGATATTAATAGGTCAAAGATTCAATCTTAGTCAATCCAGCAATTATCTCATCAAGTATCACAGTATTATATCAAGATTCTTCTTTCTATATAGCATTGCCTAAAAATCGTGGAACCATTTATGAAGTAGATATGCTTCAGATAATCAGCAATAATCTTATTTCCATCAGTGTCTCCTATGCCGTTATTGAGCGTTCACACTTGCAGTAGTCTGTCTAAGATTGATTTAAATTTAAAGTAGGGTAAAACATCCCTTAAAAACCGCATTAGCAAAATTGAAAGAAAAGTGCTGCCTAGAAAGATTCTAATCTCTATTCCTCTCCACTAAAATAATGTATCAGTAAAAGCACCTTATTCTTATTTTATACAATGAATTAGGAACAAGTAATTGTAATATTGAATCGCCTTAGGCATATCTCTAATAAGGAGTGCGATACGCTACATATTTTCATTTATGAATGATTTTATAGGAGTCTGATTTCGGAATATCATAGAATAGATGGTTGATTAATGATGTAATTATTATGCAAACTTTTTCTATATGAGTAATTAATGAAAATAAATAGAGATTTATGTCGATCTATTTTGTATTAAATATCGTAATTTTATTAAGCAATTGTGCAAAGCTGATGTAACTTAAAATGATTATTACGAACCAAATAGAATCAACTAAAAACAGTCATGTTATCAGATATTTATTAATTGATGTTCTGTACAGATTTGAAACAGAGTAGCATAAAAGCAGTTGGATTACTATACTTATAGATCAACATGAATTATTGTAATTGTAACAAAATAACTTTTACCCCTATCTTAACTTGTTTATTTGAACGGATAAAGAATCGATTGTAAAAGTTGGATCATGAAGCTTTTATCGTCTCAAATTTTTAAGGCAAATATCAATAGTCTCCAACTAACGTAAAATAATTTTAATATTAGTTATTGTAATGCTAAATAAGAGGTAGCCTATAAACATTATAACGTTATTACCACAAAGTATCGATGGGGTATTTAACGGCTAAATATCGGTAAATTTAAATTTAGTAGTGCATTAACTTCCTTCTCTATTGATCGACATTAATATGGCTGTCGCATTCGTTTATGC